CTCCCCTTTTTTTTTTTTTTTTTTTTTTTTTTTTTTTTTTTTTTTTTTTTTGTCTTAGCATTACTTCACTGGCTCCGCAAAAGTGTTTGCATAAACAGGAAAAGATGGGAAGGACTTGCTTGTACTAATATACCCAGAGCCTCAGTGTAACTGGTCTGCAAAGGATCCTTTCAAGCAAATACACCAATTCCATAAAAATCTCAGCCTGCCATCACAGGCTACATAAATAACTACTTCATTATTTCTGCTGGACATCTTAACGAACATCCAGGAGGCTCTAGTACACAGGTGTAAAAGCTATTATTTGACTCCTTTTTTCTTCCTCCAAAAGGCAGCTAGGAGACAGGAAAAAGACTATAGAGAATGTTTCCTACTACACATTAAGAACAATTATTTGATGAAAGACTGATCTTGAAATGCCAAGACTGGAAATTAGCACATTTGCACCATTTTTTCCTCCCCACTAACACTGTTTGAATGAATAATGGCTCTCAGGAAGAAATTACTGTGTTATCAATATACCAATCTTCCCACCAGTTACTACAGCTGCAATGGTCCGGAAACAAATGTTCAGTGAAGACAGGATTTCAGCCAGTGCAGCCGGCTCTAGACAAGCGGTGGCAGAAGCCAAGCCCGAAGCATGTACAACTTCCCGTTACACGAACTAACAGTGCAGAAAAGTGGCAGGCAACCTGTCTGCTCTGCAAGCCACATAACCAAATTTTCATATGACAAGAGTCTGTGACACTTATCATGTCCTTTGAAGAGACAGAAGGGAGCAGAGGGGAGATGGAGCATGCAAGCAATGACAACAGCTTCCGACGAGCAGAAACACTGAAGGATGCAGTTAGCATGAAGCAACCCCCTGGGACACCCAGCAGGGCCAGGCTGAGCCCCGCTTTCTGGCTTCCTTCCTCCAGCAGCAGGGACTCGTGTCACCCAGTAACAGCATAGCCTCATTGCTGGTCACACAGTGTCGGGGCAGGACAGCAGCTGCTTCTCAACTGCCTGGCAGCCACCACCTGCTATGTCTGGTACAGACTTGAGCTCAGGTCTCAGCCCTGCTCTCAGTCCCGTGCGTGGCACTGACAGATACTTGAAGCCCCAGGAGAGGGGAGAACTCCCACAGTGAAGCCAGCATGAGGCAGATGCAGAGACCTTCCGGGGACTACTCTCTCAACTAGTGCTTATGACAAGATGTGGCCACAATGGAGGTGGAACAACCCCAGCCAAACATGGTAGGTGGTCCTGCAGCTCCTGCGAGCTGTCGGGATGCTGGAACATGCAGAGACTGCTCCAAACCACTGAGTTGTAATTAGTGCACTCACTGCTAATAGCCTCACTGGTACACAGCTTAACAAACCTGTTCTTCAGTAGCGACATCAGCCCACATGGCCTCTGCCAGGCCTTAATTTTGACAAATGAATTGTTTGTGTGGCCAGATTGGATAACTGATCCTAACTAAAACCAAACCATTGGGGGAAAATATATTTAAGCAAGATCATTTCCTCAACTAGTTTGCTGAGAAACTGCAAAGAGTGGGGGGGCAGCTTAAGCCAGGACATCCACTAAAATTTAAGACACAGAATTTCATGATTGGCTCCATAAAAGTACTACCTTGATCAACACCTTTAAGTATACAAAACAAACAATTTGGATTCTTACTCTGCACATTTTGAGCTATTCTCACTGTCCTCAGTTGTAGCATACCTAGGAGAAAGTCCCAGGTAGAAAAATATTAGGAAGAAACAAGAATGAGAATATAAATATATTGAAACCACCTGTAATCCTTTAGAAGAAGAAGAAGATACTGATCAAGTAAGGCTGGACTGCAGGCAGGAAGAAACAAACTGTGGAAAGACACCTACTAAAGGGGGAAAGCAACACATGCAGCAAAAACATGGAGAAGATGAATTCTGCAGAGATATAACTTACAATACAAAAATTCAAAACAAAATAGCAAACTCTGAGATTGAGACCCCAAATGCTTACAGCTTTCCTCCCCACTCCACTTCCAAGTGGATTGGGGGTTCCATCTGGATTACAGAGGGGTTAAAATAACCCAAGTTACAGAGAATAAAAATAGCACACTGGTGAATAACTTTATCAACACATATTGAGTGTGGCAAAGGCTTACCACCCTCTGCCACACCAGGACAGCTCTTCCACGTGAAAGGACATTAGATAGCATTTAGATATTAAGCCTGTAATAACAGTATCAGAAATGTGAAGGGGCCAGAGCTACCGGGCCATTTCTACTCAGCCACAGGGCAGCTGTAGGAAAGGGCAGTACTTCCATGTTTTCTTAACTTGAAACAAGGCAGCAGTACTTGACCTAACAGAGACAGCTTCTTCACAGCTACTTATTCCTTGACCAGCTTGATACGGTCTGGTGAAGACTACCCCCATCTGTGCTGAGGTAGACATCAACTGGTAGAACATAACATTCTGGTCAAAAAACTGATGTGCCCGATGCCTCTGCACACCGACTCTGGATATTTCACTGCCAGAAACAACTGCAGTCTCTTTAATAGCCAATAGCTTTGATAAAAACTGCTCTAATCCTTGGCTAGTAAAGTAAATTGGTATAGCTCCTTCGAAGCCAAAAAGCTGAGGGTCTGCCCAGGACTTGAGCATGGCATATGTGTCTTCTGCCAAATGAACAATCGCATGCTTATCCAGCAGTTGAAGGGCAGCTCAGTTAAATCCAAGACCTGCTGGTTCCCTGCTTCTCCACAAAGATAAAACTGTTTTCTTGTCTGCAGGAGTTTACAGAAGAATACAGTCATTTACAGAACTTGAACTGCAGCAATACCTACTATTCCTTAGCCTGCAACAATAGTCAGTGCCCAGAAATAACCCAGAACTCTCAAATGCCTCGATAAAAACCATTACCCAAAATAAATCTATACCATCTTACCAAACACTCAAGCCACACACTGAATCTGCTGTCTATTAAATCCTGAAATTCCAGTTACAAATGAAGCTGGTACTGTCCCTATCTTTGGTGTCGTTTACCACCTGAAAAATATCTGCCGCTACCAGCTCAGCGCAGACCCCTGAACTCAGCCAGGGCCAGCTGCAGCAATAAGCAGACAGCAGTAGGAAGCTTTCCCAGATGTCTATAAAATATGTCTGGCCACAGAGATGCTGCTGCCCAAGTATGCTTTGACATTTTGAATATGTCAGCTACCCCGGCCAGACATGCTGTCTCACAGGTACGAGCTGAAAGACAGTGTTTTAACTCAGGGCTGGCTTATCTTTCAGCCTTGACACTTTCAATACAGTATAGCTGCTCCGACACCACCTTTTCGAATCTGTGCTTAAGAATGATACATCTGACCGATTCAGAGCAAGGGTCAACTGTCCTGCTTTTTTTAACAATTTATTAAGAGCTGGCAGGATCAGTGGCTTCACTGTGTTGTTCAATTGTATTAACAAACTGGAGAGTTTGTTTCAGGCAGAAAACAAATTTCAGCATGAAATGCAAATGTGTAAAACGATGAGGAATACTAACCCAAGAGATCGATATGTCTAGAGATGGCAAAGTATACCAGATAATACTGAAAAAGATGTTTCTCCCTGCATGCCCAGCTCATCTCTGAAAGCCCCACAGCTCATCACTGCTGTGAAACAGTTTCATGCCCACTTCTCCAGCAGATACTGCCATGGAAGCCTCCGAGAAGGTACCCCAGGAGGTACAGCCTGGGTATGATTTTGAGTATAATTATGTTCAGGTTTCAGCTGGGATAGAGTTAATTTTCTTCCAGTAGCTGGCATAGTGCTGTGGTTTGGATTTAGCATGAGAAGAGTGTTGATAGCCCACTGATGGTTTAGCTGTTGCTGAGCAGTGCTTACACCAGCCAAGGACTTTTCAGCTTCCCATGCTCTGCCAGGGGCACAAGAAGCTGGGAGGAGGCACAGCCAGGACAGCTGACCCCAACTGGCCCAAGGGCTATTCCATACCATATGATATCATGCTCAGTATAGAAACTGGGGGAGTTGGCCAGGGGACAGCAATTGCTGCTCAAGGACAGGCTGGGCATCGGTTGGCGGGTGGTTGCATCACTTGTTTTTCCTGTGTTGTGTTTCTTTCTCTCTCATTGCTTTCCTTTTCATTACAATTTTTTTTTCAATTAATAAACTGTTCTTATCTCAACCCATGAGTTTTCTTGCTTTTGCTCTTCAATTCTCTCCCCCATCCCACCGGGGGGGGGGAGGATGAGGGAGGGGCTGTGTGGTGCTTGGCTGCCTACTGGGGCTAAACCACAACACAGGCACATGGATATGGGTTATTTGTAGTTCTAGTGATGGAAAGGCAAAAGAAAAAAAAAGAAAAAAAGATGTGTCCTTATACAACTTTTTCAGAACTTTAATAGAGCTCGAGGAGTCTGTATTTATAGAGTAACCAAATGTTAGAAAAAGCTCCATAAAAAAAGCACATGGAGGGAGACACTAATTCAGTTCAGTGTATAAGCATAGCATTTAAAGAAAAAAAGAACTGTCCTGGCTGACAACCACTCCAGTCATCGTCTCTTACAAGAACAATCCCAAACCACTCTGCTTGAATATTATCTGAAACAGGACATGGTGCAGAAAATCAGCAGGCAGGCTGTGACCGAATTCAAACAGCAGGCTTATTTAAAGTTTCCAAACAAAGAAGTTACCAGAAGAAAATTAAAGCTTGCGCTAAGGAACATGTTCAAAACTTAAATGAACAGCTGAAGAGGACAGACTTCGGGCATGACAAGCTTCAGAGCTGAGTCAGGCACTGCTATGGTGTGAACAGAAGCCAGCCAGTCAGCAGAAGAGCTGCACGTTTCACCTGTAGCTATCATAGGTAATCAAGCTGGAAATCAGTATCAAAGCACTTGGAAAA